TAATGTGATGGAAAAGCAAAATCGTGAAATCATTTTTAGCAGGGCGGCAATTTGCCAGAAACATAATGGCAACTTTTAAAAGGTTAGCCAGACCGTTTTCTAGCTGCGATCATTTTTCCGGTGTGCTCTTTTAGGTCGAACGGTAACCGTAAATAGTTTTATTTCACTTATAAATTACTTCTTCAAAAAAGGGACACATTCAAGTCCGGTTTTCGTTCTTGTAAATCTTTAGATGTCCATATCTTTGCAAAGTCAGCTAGTGATCCTTTAAAGTACAGTTGAGTTAGAACTTGTGTCGTGAAAATGATTCTAAACATCTCAGTCTCGTTATATTTTCAATTAATATCAGGACAAGCCGATAAGATGGTAGGATTTCAAAATTGCCGTATTAGAGAGCAAAATACATAAACATATTTTAAAAAACATACGAGACGAACATGGTACAACACATATTTCTTAAATGGACGTTCTAATTATAGAAACTGCTCGCGTCTAGAGTAATGACTTAATTTAATTTAATTTAATCAAGTTTCAGGTTTGCAATTACAATGACAATCAAATCAATCAATCGCTCAATCTGAGGTAGGCTTAAAACAGAGTACAAGACTCCTTAAAAATAAGCCACCTATTATTACATCATAAATAGATCTAGAGAATTAATTAAGTAATAAAATTATCTAAAACGTTATTTTAAAAAGTATTATTAACAAATCACAGAAAGCATGAGATAAAAAACAAAAATTCAATAAAAAAATTACAATTACCATAAATGGACAAATGATTGACTATAAAGTACAATGTAAAATTAGGGAAAATTTACATCAAACTTATCATAAAAAGAGGCCATCAAGTTCTTACGAAAGATTGACAAGGTATTTGACTTTCTTATACTAAGAGGGAATTCATTCCACAGGCGACAGATCCGAACAAAACAAGAGTTCTTAAAGACGTCAGTCCTGCTAAAAGGGACATCAAGCGTTAAATGATCAACATTCCTAAGCGGTTTTGTAAATGAGCGAAACGATACATAATCGAAAATGTTTGACATATGTATGTTCCTAAGACACTTAAAAAAGACTTTTACTGGGTATAAAAGCGAACTTATTTTGCGTGGTTGGCTTATAGAACGAGGAATATTCATAATAATTATTAGCGCGTTTCTACTTGGTGTAAAAGCGATATTTGTTTTGCACCAATAGAACCATTGGAATGGCATCATTTTCCATTGGTACCAATCGTACCATTGGTACCAATGGACCATCGGAATCGCCCTGTACCCAGCCAGGTCACATGGGAAAATAATCAAAGTCCCCTTAATGAGATCCATATTCACCAACAGAACCATTGGAATGACATCCTTTTCTATTGGTACCAATCCTACCATTGGTACCAATGGACCATCAGTTTGACGAATCGTATCCGTTTGTGTATATTGGACATGTGTGTGCATTTTTGGTAAAGGACATTAAGCATTCTTTGAGCTTTCGAGGAGATAAGATCAACGTGATTATTCCAGCTTAAATTGTGGCTAACCAAAACCCGTAGGTCCTTCTCAACATCAACACGGTCTAACTTAATCCCAGCAAGGTAATAGTCCCTGTCATCGATTGATCTTATACGAGCCACCCTTAAAACCTTACTCTTCCTGGCATTAAACTCCATTCCCCAGATACGAGACCACTGAAATAACTTATTCAAGTCATCCTGCATTTTGTCACCGTCATCCCGCCCAAGAATTAAGCGAAAACACTTTGAGTCATCAGCAAAGAGGCGTAACGATGTTTCCTTTGAAATTGCATTAGGCATGTAATTGATAGAAAGCAAGGACATTAAAGGCCCCAAAATTTACCCTTGCGGGACTCCAGATGTTACAGGGAAGAAATCAGACGACTCGTTATCTATCACGACTCTGTGTCTTCTACCCGATAAATATGATCTAAACCAAGCACTCAAGCTTAAGTAGGAGTTTTTCGTGAGATACACGATCAAAAGCCTTAGAAAAATCTAAATAAATAACATCAACTTGTTGTCTCCTCTCAAGAGCGTTAGCGAATTGATGAACAACTTGAGATAGTTGAGAGACAGCGGATTTTCTTGGTAGGAAACCATGCTGCCAGTGGGTAAGATGGGGGCAAGTAACAAGTAATACTAATTCTTCCCAAAGTGGTTTTATTACACACTGATCACACTATAGAATATCACATTATACAGCATTCATATTACCAGCTGCCTTTTCGTATTATTAAAGGTAAGTGAATTAAAAAAAGATAGCTTAAAATGCTTCTCTCTTCCAGATACACTAGTTCGCCGCAGACGCAATTTGGGAAGTGAAAACAAGCTGCTAAATACAAGCGAAATAATCACAAGAAAGGACATCCGAAAAGAGGTTCATCTTGCACTGAGTAGCCATGTTTGTACGGTGTATTGTCCGAAAAGTGCCAGGGGAAAAAGAGGCAGACCTGGTCACAGAGGCCCTCCGGGTAAACATGGCCCACCTGGGCCTCAAGGACCACAAGGACCTAAGGGTCGTCCTGGAGATCAGGGACCTTCAGGACCTAAAGGCAATGAAGGTCCTCAGGGACCCAAGGGTGATCGTGGTAAATCCATCGCAGCGCCTTCTATTGTGTCGCCTCTTGTTTCTATGGTGGTAAATGAAAAGGATGCAGTCTCATTTCAGTGTCAGGTTAGAGGAAATCCGATACCTCAGATCACGTGGATGAAGGAGAACTTCAGTCTGACAGTGAGCAAACGCATCCAACTATCACGTGGTACCATGGTGATAACAACTGTGACTTCACAAGATGGTGGAATGTACACGTGCCAAGCAAAGAATATTCTTGGAGTTGTAAGATCATCAGCTACACTAACTGTTCAAGGTAAAAATAATGAAGTCCTGTTTCAATGTTTGTGCCATGAAAGGATATTAAGTACAAAGCGTTAAAGCAAATATAAAAGAGGTTCCTCAACAAAATATCAGATTCACCTTTATGGGATTTTGAGATTTAGAGAGTAAATACCTAAGGTGTGACACTGTTTGCCTGTTGTGTTTAAGTTCTAACAATATTTTTTTATAGTGATAAAGATTTGTTTTATACTATAAAACTAAAAATGCTGAAAATTCTGAGAACTGTCTTGCTACCATACGTTTACAATAAGGTGCATGGATGTTGTCACTGCTGTAGGTGAGGGGAATCTAACTAACTGATTGATTGTTATTTATCAACAACAGTTGCTGCCAAAATCACTCACTAGCCCTCGTCTATCATTGTTGAAGAAGGACAAAATGTGACTCTAGTTTGCAAAGCTAATGGTCAGCCGACACCAAAAGTAATGTGGCGCAAAGCTTTTGGTCACGTGTCTAAAGCGAATATTGTGGTGGCAGGTTGGAATATGACCATACTCAGCGTTACGAAAGCAGACGGTGGGGCATACGCATGCTCGGTAAAGAATCTTCTTAGCGAAGATTCTGCTGTCGCATTAGTGACAGTGATCGACAGGCTCGAATTCGTTTTGGCTCCTCCTCTGACAGTTGTTGCAAATGAGAGCAGCGACATAATGTTAAACTGTGCAGCTCACGGCAAAAAAGATATTCTTTGGGAAAGAAAGAGCCAAGGACTTCCTAAAAATCACGTCATTTTTTCAAATGGGACATTGCTTCTGAGGATGGTTTCTCCAAGTGACGCCGGAACTTACAAATGCGTAGCGAAAAATTACCACGGCTCTATAGAAACAGTGTCTGTTGTTAAAGTGCTAAGTTATAAGCTCAGGTCCTGCAGCGAGATAAAATCGAGACGCCCTGGAAGCTCTTCTGGTAATTATATAATTGATCCTGATGGCAAAGGTGGCGTGACTCCATTTAGCGTGAATTGTGACATGAATGACAAGGGTGGAGTTGGCGTGACGGTCATGGGTCACGACAGTGAGAGCAGGACCTATGTTAATGAAATTCCTGGATGTAGCTACCATGGATGTTACCGTAAAGATGTAACTTACTCAGGAATTACTACCCATCAACTGGCAGCGCTTACTCAAGTCTCGCAGAACTGTGAACAGTTCATCAAGTATGAGTGCACAACTGGCTCAGGGTTTCTAGCGGATGGCAGTGCCTGGTGGGTCTCACGTGACGGAACAAAGATGAACTACTGGGGTGGAGCTACTGGCTATAACAACATGTGCGCATGCGGAGTAACAAATTCTTGTTCCAGTAGTAGGAAGTGCAACTGCCCACCCAGCGGAGGTTGGAGCGAGGACAGTGGTTTGTTAAAAGATAAGTCCACTCTTCCTGTGACACAAATCAGACTAGGAGACTTGGACGGTTCACACGAGAAAGGTTATCACACATTAGGAAAACTCAAATGTTATGGACAGGGATAGCTGATTATTATGCGTTGAATAATTATGAGGGTCCTATGATAAGCTCGAGTCTTACACCCCACTAAATAAAACTTTTAAAAGTACACCTTACCCAATTGTCATGATCAGTAGTAACTCTCGTAAATTACACTGTCAATGAGGGTTTTTTTCCCTTTATATTTAGGTTATCTCTGTTTAGAGTATTTTAGCATTTAATGATAGCCGGAGTCTTTCCAATAATCTGTCCAAGCTAAACACACGGGTACCCCAATGCACCTGACAGGCTGCACATTATTGATACTTATCTATTCTGTGTTGTTATTTTGAGGTAGCCTGTGTGTGTGGGTCAGTGTTGTATTGGAACTCCACTACGAAACTGTTTTGGGGAAGCCAGCGCTTCTTTTATTGGCAATAAAGAAGTTGCGCAGGATAAGGGGTCAAAATTGTCCCCAATATGGCTGAATCTAAAAGCTGGTACGATGAAGTGAATCCTGTCTTCTCACTGACTGCCTTAGCGGGAAGGTGAGCCTTACCTTCTCGTGATCTCCAGCTTTGGCCCAGCAAAAACAAGTTATGCTTTTGGCCATATAATGAAGGCTTTATTGACCAAGCTTGTTCGGTCAAGATGACTGGATATCGACCTCGTTTTTTTGCGTTTTCATTGACCTCGACTTCGCCTCCATCCATAAAATCGCAGAAAAGATCTAGGCCAATATTCAGCCAGCTCGACCACACTCTTCGTCGATCCTTGCAAGGTGCATTTTGTGCCATTAAGCTAACACCGATCCATACGAGATGCATGTGTATAAAAACAAACAGAAAATAAAAACGCGAAAGTCATTTCAAATTCGATTTATTGATATCGCTAGATGTACAACGAAACTTATATAAGTACTGCTACTTTATTAGTCTCTTCAGTCTACTAAACGAAATTACCATGGAGGCTTTTATTCTGCTGTCGTAGTATTTTGTCTCTATTTTTTGATATAATGCATTTTTGTTCTCCTGTATTTAACAATCATAGCGAGCTACTCAACAACGCTGCAAATAACTAGTAATAAATAAACCAGCAGTTTCCAACTGATTTCTTTAGTACTTAATAGCCTGCTTTACTTAGCGTTTTCGTTTCAATGTATGGATGGTCATATATTTTATTACTGAGACTATAATGAAAAGAAAAAGCGATCATATAAAACTAGCTTGAACACTAGTTAATCCCTATAAAAAGTTTGAGGTAAATCTTGATATCATTTCACGTTAGGGAAAGCCAACGAGGTCATGCACCTTTCAGAAGTTCTTGTAGAATCTCGTGGCCATCAAAAATGTTTTAAGCAGCACTCGTACTTGTATTTCAAACAGATGGGTCGCGTGCACCAACATTTCAACGAGCTCTTAAGCATGTTAAGAACTTGTTAGTGTTTTGTGGATAAACAAATTACAATTAAAATTATTACCTTCACAAAGTGTACTCGTCGAATATCGCTACCATTAAAGAGGTCATTCAAAACGTCTCAATCAACGTTCTCTGGGCTGCTTAATATACAGCTGTCTGTCTTCGCTCCTCCCCATAAAATGTACTTAGTCCGAAAAACGCCCAACGAATAGTACCAAGCGAAGAGGAGCGAGAAGCGACGGCGCTATTCGCAGGCTATGACATTCTCAAACTTTTAATTTTTGTGTTTCAATAAATAGAACATTTATTTAAAAGCATGACTAACATTAACAATATTAAAAAAATAAGGACTCAAAATACAAAGTTACAACATTGACAGGATGTTAATGATACAGCTTCATACATTTCTGTAGTTCTGTTCTACAGAAAACCAACCCCTGAAGCAAGGCGTTTTCGGGGGCACAGAAGTACATTTTAAGTTGTAGCAAACGAGCCCAAGCCCCCTTTAGTGATAACCCTTTCAATTCCTTCTCGTCCTACTGTGCTTTCAAATTAGCTTTCACATTGAGCGCTTGCTCAGTATAGTAGGCAAAGGAGCTTAAAGAATGCGATTCTAACGACGATGAAATTATTGAATTTTTTTGGAAATTTTTTAATCATTCCTCATTTGAGAATTTTTTTATGCCCACTTCCTTTACGGTGGGGAAAGAGAGAAATAATTTTGCTAGTGTTTAAAACACTCTCACTAAATCTCGTTCCCAGGTAGCCAATAGCAGTGAGAGAAGTTCAAACTCAATGGCAGTAACTCTTGTGCGTTTACGTGAAGTGAAAACTCAAGAGGCTTCCGAAAAAGCATCAGTAAACAGTTAAAATATAAAATGCGAACTCATTTTCTACGAAATGACAAATAGCCTTGAACCACTTTTTCAACGGTAGTATACTTAATCAGAGAATAAATTACTCATTGTGTCTCTTTTAGAGTACTCCACAATTCTTTGCCTTTGAGGTTCTGATCTATCACATCTTTAACAGAGGAACACAATTTTTAAGTGTACACTTTGTTTCTGTGGAAACGAAAAAAGGGTTGTCATTAATTATGTCCTTCACTCTCTAACGTGTAATAAAAGGAAATTAGAGCCAAACTTTGCCTGTGGAAGGTTGGTCGCTTAGAAGAGTTTGGACACCGGAGGTCTTTGCTGTGAACAGGTTGGGCATATCTAACTGAGACACGGCACACATAAATCAAAAGATCACCGTCACATTTTTATCACTGCGAATATAACACCTATCGACCTGGCAGTACGCAGAATCTTGGTCACATGAACTTAGTACCCCATTTCCGAGTTCCCCCGGGTCTGTGCATCAAAACGAGGTTAAGTACTCAGCCTTTGATATGAAATCTCATGCGAATAAAACTCATTTTCACAAGAAAGGTTGTGCACTTGGCCTCATTTTGAAAATGAGGGTTTTTAGAACTTGCGGGTGGCTTGTTTAATGCCCCTAGTTCCCAGAAGTCTCTTGTAGCTCAGTGGTAGAGCATCCGAACTGGTGACCAGAAGAAGGTCCTGTGTTCGATTTCCAAGTCGCCCTTGTCGCTGATTAAATAAAATGACCCACAGTATCAAAATCGCGTGGTATCGCAGTACCCATTATTTTGCCATCATGTATCAGGTGGCTGCTTCAGAAAAGTTGAAAACTAGACAAATATTGACACCGCAAAAATGGGTGGCGGCTACTTAAAAATAGAGACCATTTTGACGGTGTAAATTTAGGTACTTTGGATTAGAGGTCGCCTACGAGTAACCTTGGATGGGTTCCTTCCTTTTTTAAAGATAACAGGGAGAAAGCACGATCTCAGTCTACCTGCCAGATTGTACATGAACGTTCGACTTAATTAGCAAAGTTCTTCACTACATACCCTCCATTAATGGGTCTCCTTTCCTCACTGTTGCCAACCCAAAAAAAGTAACGAACAACGTTTAGACAATTTTACATAGAAGACCTTACAAAGAACAGTTCGTTCTGTAGCAAGTGTCAAAACGTGCGGTAATTTATACTTGGGTTTAATCAACACAATTTTGAGCGATGACAGCATGAGATAAAAACCTCTCCTGCTACTAAAGTGCTCGCGACGTGATATCAAAAACTGCAAAGTTACACACATACTTAATTAAGGGACAAAGAACATCTCCACGAACCGCCCCTTTGAAATTGGAGTCCTTCCATTCCGGAATACAGGTTAGGGTTTACGTATCAATTAGACTCACCTCAAAGCCTTTTTTCTTTGAAAGTATCACCAAGACTATGGCTACAATGATTAACAGGCAACCCAAGGCTATGAGAAGATACTCAATCGCATATGCTATTGTAATCGCGCGGTAAACTTTATCTTTGAATTCTGTTGCTTTCTCATCACTGATCATTGCAGTCTGGAAACACAAAACACGTGGACGTCAGTAATAGCTATTCCCCTTGAATATATGAGATAAATAGTCACCTGTATGCTTGCTACACACTGGCGAGCCTGCGATCAAGCTCCTTATTCAAGTGCAAATAGACTGGCAGCTCGCGTATGGCACCGAGCGCTTGTGAGCCCGCACACACAAAAAGTAAGGTCGGCAATTCCGCACTTCAGAGACCATAAGGGGAAAAGGTACAAGCTTTCGGCATCGCAACGACTTCTGGAATCGTTTGGATGGAAAAAAGTTACCTACGATCGACCAGTCATAACGAAGGCTTGTTTAACAGAGATATCCCAAAAATCACTGCACCCAAAGCATGCACTGTTTCTTTCTATAGTTTCTGATGTGGGGAATCTCATACAAATTACTGTATTTGGTCAATTAGTGCCTTTTCCACTGGAAGACGGCCAGGTCCAGAGAATACTTGTTCGCAGGCTTCACACGAGCGGTTTACATATCACTTCTCATGAAAACACAATAATTATATCAGGGAACAAAATCTTAGAAATACAGTCAGCTCTCTCTTAACGGACACCTCTACAAGACGAACACCTCGCTGAAACGGACAGCTAGAGTTGACCCCTAGCTGCCTTTCTTCACTCTTTTTGCTAGACTGTCTATAACACTGACATCTCTCTGAGACGGACATATGGGTGTCAGAGAAATTCGACTGTATGATGAATAAAGAGAAGGATCATCAAGGGCAAAATAAATTAAAAGGAATTCTGTTTATTACCACAAATTAAGTGTGAAAATTGGTTAAAATGGATAAACAAATATTCACTACTCTGCATGCAACTAACAGCAACCTACCTCAGCAGCGAACATAACTGGGAGAAACACGGGTTGAAATTTGCCAATCGTTTGCCTGTAAAAAGTGAAAGAAAATCATATCCTGAAGAGATTTCCCCATCAAACACTATAAACTAACTGCCTTTTCAGCAAATTCAAAACAGTAAACTTGATCTCACCGCAGCACAATAATGCGGAAATAAGCTCTGACGGAAGTAACAATACAGGCGCATTAACGAATCAGTATCAAGTCCGACATTTTGTGANTTTGCCAATCGTTTGCCTGTAAAAAGTGAAAGAAAATCATATCCTGAAGAGATTTCCCCATCAAACACTATAAACTAACTGCCTTTTCAGCAAATTCAAAACAGTAAACTTGATCTCACCGCAGCACAATAATGCGGAAATAAGCTCTGACGGAAGTAACAATACAGGCGCATTAACGAATCAGTATCAAGTCCGACATTTTGTGATTTTGTAATGTTTCAGTATTTTCAAAGACGTGACCTGTCTTACTTCTTATCTTGGATTGTTTCTTTTTCACTCAAAATCTCCTATTACAGGTAGATCATGTTACCTTCAAGGAATGTTTCGTCTGTTTGTAGATTATGCAGTTGTCCATCCGTAAACAGGGTGAAAATCACGCTCTCTTTAAGGGAAAACCAAACAAACTAACTCGGTTTGAAGATAGACATATTTCCCTTCGAAATGGTTTCAAATGCAATAAATACACCAATTCATTTCTTTTTCCTTTGCTAGATATATCAAGCTCTGTTTCCTGTTAGCTATAACCTTTTCATCGTGAGTTCATGCAAAATAGTTGACTGGAGAAATCCGGAATGCCTTGAAATAGATCTTGAGGAAAAGGGGTGGGGAGATGGGCGTACTGTATTGCTACTTTATGACGGTCGTTCCTCCAATGATTTCACGTGGAGATTATTGTCTGTTTCTGCGATCATTTGTTAAACCAGTGCTTTGTAAACATAGTAACAAACAATAAGCATTCTTTTCTAAGCTATCTTTTTAGGATAATGATCAACCTATCGGAATGCGGAAAAAGCCGTAAAGGAAGTAAATGAAACTTCCATTAAGCGAAACTGTGTTACAAAGGCTTATGCACTCATTACATTTCTCAATGACCGTCCATGCCGTGTCAACAATCTTTAACTACAATGGAGACGACAAAAGTTCGTTCTAATTCAAAAACTGTATCAGTTTCAATGTTACAAAGTATCTCTATTTTTATTTGCTTCGTGGCTCTGATTCACGTCGAGTTGGAGTTGCACGCACATCGAGGCACCATCAGAGTTTTGACTTCTCAACACAAAGGAGAAAATCCCGTGCTAAGAAACACTGTAAATGATGAAACGAGTCATTCTACGCTTACGGAGACACACAATGACTTGGCGGAAGGTCTGCATATGTCCCCATTGAGACTATTGAAATGTCCCTTCTTCTGATTACTTAGATAGTTCTTTCATAGCCCTATTCTGAATTGACTCACGTTGAATAGGACAGGGGCACACATTTTTAAAAAAAACTTTTAAAGCACATTGGTATAGTATAGCTATTACTAAACGAGGATCGTACAATCCCTAGACTCGGAGACCAAAACTTCACTGACTTCGGTAGCACAAAACAAACCGGCCACGACGTTATGAGGTTGTACGTTAAGGAAGTTGTGACAAGTCCAGGTACATACTATGCTCAGGATTTTAAGGATTTGTCGATTAAAATCGCTCCATAGTTTGCGAAAACTCAACTCAAAGCCGATGATTTCCTCCTTGGCTTGTTCATGTGCGCCCATAACACCCTCGTATATATTTCCTTCACCTACTTAAGCAAGAACGGCCTTCTTACTTTTCCTTATCCAATCATACTGAGTCAAAATCTCTTGCAGAGAAATACACTCGTCAGAAACGTAACATAGGGAGTTCGAACAAGGGATCAAATGACAGCAAAATGATCAGTCGTGATGAAATCAAGAAAGAAGTGCAACGTGTTCTTAGTAACCTGGCCTGTAAAGTACGTTGCCCAAAAAACACCAGGGGAAGACGAGGGAGGCCTGGTGAAAGAGGTCCACCCGGGCCTCAGGGACCTCCAGGCCGTCAAGGCGATCCGGGCCCTCAAGGTCCAAAGGGCGATCCTGGTAAAACCATCTCAGCTCCTTCTATCGTATCACCTCCAACGCCCACCGTGGTTAATGAAACCGACGTAGCCTCATTTCAGTGCAAGGTTAGAGGAAATCCCAAGCCTCAGATCACGTGGCTGAAACAGAACTCCAGTCTTCCTGCTAAAAAACGAATCGTACAGTCACGTGGTACCCTGATGATAAGGGATGTGACGCCACAAGATGGCGGAATGTACACGTGCCAAGCGAAGAATTTACTCGGAGTTGTAACATCGTCAGCCATATTAACTGTTCAAGGTAAATAAGTCTTATTTTTGCTCCTGTCCGAGAAAAGATTCGCGGATAGGAACTTGTTTGCATTTAAGAGATGTCCTCTGGCCATAGCAGAAACATTTCGTCACTTTGTAAGGCCAATTACAACCGCGTACTTTAGTAAAGGAAGATTTGAGAAACGAAACATATGCCTTAGTATTCTCTTAGTAAGCGGTGGGTCCACTCAGACTGAAGTTCTTGCAACAAGTTGCTTAAAGTTTAAAGCTATGTTGCCCCCCCCCCCCCCCCTGGGGGTTTACGAGCAACTCGCCCGCTTAGTGCAGAGGTACCATTGGGTATCTGACTTTACATCTTGGTGTTCTTTATTCTTCACAGCAGCTCATACTGCTTCCTATTACCGCATCACATAACGACTACTGCTCAACAACTACCTGCACACCAATCAACCTCCAATCGACCCCCTAAATATTTAAATAACTTGAATGTAGGTACGTTCGGGCTTGCTGACCATGAGAATTATAATGAGTTAACGAATTTCCTGTTGATAACCAAAGTGGAATAAGCAAACCTATAAGGTTAATAATGTCAAGTACAAGAAAACCAATGCAAGCGTGACAGCTAAACCCACGAGGCTCTACTTTACACCAAAACAGGAACTCCGTGAGATGTAGGTGACAATCAAGGTCAACGATGGTTCTAAAACGTGCCCACTTCAAGGACTGACACTCAAATTTAATAAGTGAAATTTATGTTGAAAAACTACTTAATAGAATTTAAAAACCTGTCGACACAAATACCGATTAACCTTGATCTACAAACTGACCATAAGAAAACTGTCTAGGCACGAGTGAAACGACAAGTGTGAACATGAAATAAACCAAAAATTACCCATAAAATACTTCACAACAATACGTTCAACTACAATCGAACCTCCCGTAAGTGACCATCCAAAATGCGTGGACTGTTCACTTACAATAATAAGCTGATTTAGCAACAGAACGGGAACGTCAGTTGACAATGGCGCGTGCATATCAAACAACTGGCTTGACCATGGCAGAGCGGCAAATTGGGCACCGGAAGTCGTGTTTTGTCCTTTCCGCGCGCTTTCACGTCACCAACTGATGTTCCCGTCCTGTTGCTAAATCAGCCTAATCTAACCAAAGGGGGTCTCCTACGGGAGGGTCTCAAACAAGAAGAGGCTCAATCACATCTACTCATACAGATACTTAATTGCATTCAATTTCTAAGTTACGACGATTGTAGTTCCATGCATGTTGTCACTAAAAAGTCATCGTATACTGTATAAGTAACATTATAGTACATAAAGTGAACGCAGAGATAGGACCATGCGTCAAATGGTGGCTTAAGAGATGTTAGACCAATCGAAAATTATTAAACAGTCAGCCCCGAAATGTGGTAGCGGTCGTTTAGCGGAGGTGGTTGTTACGAGAGGTTTCAACTGTAATTAAGGCGTTGACAAGGAAACTTTTGGCGTTTTTGATTGTAGCTTATTAAAGATGGTCGTTTATGACAGATAGTCACACATGAAGGTTTTAGCTCGTTTTTTACTTATCGTAACATATAACTGTTGTTTGTTTGCATTATACAGTTGCTGCCCTAATCACTCAAAAGCCCTCGTCTATCATTGTTGAAGAAGGACAAAATGTGACTCTAGTTTGCAAAGCTACTGGTCAGCCGACACCAACAGTAATGTGGCGCAAAGCATTTGGTCACGTGTCTAAAGCGAATATTGTGGTGGCAGGTTGGAATATGACCATACTCAGCGTTACGAAAGCAGACGGTGGGGCTTACGCATGCTCGGTAAAGAACCTTCTTAGCCAAGATTCTGCTGTTGCATTAGTGACAGTGATTGACAGGCTCGAATTCATTTTGGCTCCTCCTCCTACAGTTGTTGCAAATGAGAGCAGCGACATAATATTGAACTGTGCAGCCCACGGCAAAAAAGATATTCTTTGGGAAAGACAAAGCCAAGCAATTCCTAAAAATCATGCCATTTTTTCAAATGGAACATTGCTTATGAGGATGGTTTCTCTAAATGACGCAGGAACTTACAAATGCGTAGCGAAAAACTACCACCGTTCTATAGAAGCAACCTCTGTTGTTAAAGTGCTAAGCTTAAAACCCAAAACCTGCAGCGAGATAAGATCTAAACACCCTGGAAGCTCTTCTGGTAATTACATTATTGACCCTGATGGCAATGGTGGCGTGACTTCATTTAGTGTGTATTGTGACATGAATGACAAGGGCAGAGTTGGTGTGACGGTCATTAGTCACGATAGTGAGAGTAGGACCCATGTTGCTGGTAACATTCCTGGATGTAATTACGGCGGATGTTACCGTAAAGATGTTAGTTACACAGGAGTTACTACCGCCCAGCTGGCAGCGCTTACTCGAGTTTCACATAACTGCGAACAGTTCATCAAGTATGAGTGCAATCCCGAGTCACCATTTATTGAGGATGACTATGCTTGGTGGGTGTCATGTGATGGAACAAGAATGGACTACTGGGGTGGAGCTACTGGCTACAAAAAAATGTGCGCATGCGGAGTAACAAACTCTTGTTCCAGTGGTAACAAATGCAACTGCCCAAGCCGCAGTGGCTGGAGTGAGGACAGTGATCTGCTCACAGACAAGGCCGCTCTTCCCGTGACACAAATCAGACTGGGAGACTTAGACGATTCACACGAGGAAGGTTATCACACTTTAGGGAAACTCAAATGTTATGGACATACTTAGCGAGTGGGTCCAGTGCGAAACAGTTTTCAACTAGGGGCGCTGTATGTTTAGTCCTATTTGCAATTTCTTTGCTGATTTAAACGTTCTTTCAGGCGCAGTGTTTTTGTATCCTATGGAAAAAAAAAGAACATATCTTTGCATTGTAGCAGAGTAGAGTGGCGCACTCAGGTTTGATAAAGATACTTAGAGTGATAATATACTTTAACGTACGGAATTACAAGGCCCATGAGCCAGTCCTCTTCTTCCGTGAGGAATGCAACAAATTTGTGGATTTTTTGTTTTAGAGACTATCTTTATGCCTTTCGAAAGACTCTTTGTCCTGTGAGACTGCCTCATTAGTTCGTTAAGTTGTATTCCATTCAAATTTATATTTCTATACCCTTCATACAAACTTCGCCCCATATGCGCTTTTCACTCATTTTACTTTCCACCGAGTGATTTTTCATATACTTAACTTGACGGGGAATATTTTTCTTATTCTTGATAATGCCGTTGATCGATCAGCAAAAGCTCGGAATATAATTTTCGATTTAATTACAACAGTTAAAGGCCTCATTCGAACAATATTTTACTTTCTAATGTTTATAGTTTTGATGCAATAGAATTTACCATTAAAGACAGAAATAGCCAACTTGCTTAATTTACTAACACGACTTCAGGCCATGCTTTTGTTTAATAAAAGGGAAAACCTAGTTTGATGTCCTTATATAATGTTGTTTCAAACTTGGTTGAAAATTTATTAGCCATCCTTGCCTGTAGCGAAATCAAGTTTAAGCCAGTCAGGGCCTGTTTATCTGGAGGTGAAGGGACCCCACATAGGTGCGGCCAAGAGCTCTTGGTGCGGCGTAACATTTGGCGGGTCACCTCACCTATCATGTAAACGTGCTCAAATTAAAATGAGAGATTATATAAACAGGTGGGTTACCCCAGCTAAGCGCGTAACCACACCTACCTGGGGTCCCCCACCTTCATGTAAACGGGCCCTTAAATTATCTAGCAAACTGTGAGACCGTCGCCTCGTTGGCACTTGCCAAAAGATTCCCCTAGTGTATTTACCTCGGTTTTCATAAACGTTCGAATGCCCCATTCAGTTGTTAATTCTCAAGCTCGACACATAAAAGAAAAATTAGATTTAAAATTAATTTCAGAAAGAAATTAAACAATTGTACTTTTGCTTGATGTGACTGATCAATATTACAATAGCGCGCGATGATGTCATTTTACTACTATTTTATACTTCGACCAGAATCCTTCCGGGTTTTGCCTTCTTGTGCAAATTAGGGCTTTTGTTTTTTAATCCTCACTGTGATTACCAAATTTAGATATGAAAGAAAAAGCAAAGGGATTCTGGTCATAGTAATAAAATGACGCCAGTGGGCAAATGGCCTTTTCTCGAGCAACTAGTGACATTATTACGTAGATTGTTAAGTCATGAAACCAAGGCACGAGGATTCTCTACTCAATGTACGAAGAAAGGCTCAAAAAACATAGTTCTAGCTAATATTAATCATGCATTATTCATTTACGCTGCGTCCGATTCCCATTTTACACCTGTGCAATTAATGTTTCTTGTGTACCGCTGTTTTAAAAGGAAACACACGTCTAAGCCTGTAAGTGTATATGATCTCTTAGAGAGGCAAGATCGCAAAACTTTTAGAAAAGTAGTTCCAAACTCTACAGGACATGCACTCTTATCTTATGAAAAGAAACTTATTTTTAACCTAAGATTAATACTATGCGTCTTAAATACTCTTTCATTAACCATTTAGTTTTTTTAATACTGACGAATTAGCATTGTAAAATACTAGATTTTAATTCTTACTTTTTACCTTTTCATACTTGTTGCCAGATGTAAAATTTCCTGATTAAATACACTTGTAACAAAAGATATGTATTTTTAACTTTTGACGATTAAAGACTTTATTATTACTATTATTATTATTATTATTATTATTATTATTATTATTATTATTATTATTATTAAATCCAAGCACTGATGGTTTATTTGTGTTTCTTAACACGTTTGTAGTCAAATAAAAAACATTTCACACCATTGATGAAGGACATACTTCTCAACCACATTAAATAAACGGCTTTAACATGATAGGACATTAGTGATACATATTGTCTGAGGGGACTTTGTGTCGTAAACCATTGTAGTCAAATGATCTTGAGCAAAACTCAGTGATGAGTGCAAATCCTTCGCCATATCGTCTGTAGAATTGATTGATTCCAAAGAGATGCTGTCTGAGTAATTTTACGTAATCGTACAAAGTCTAAATAGTTTAATTGAAAACCCAATAGCTGCAACCGCCGATTCTCTGAGTATACACAACTACACAATTGGCTTGTGCGGCTGGCGTCGAAAGTGTTATATGGGATCGCTTTTATCATCCTCCCCTTTTTTGCGTCGGGCATGCAGGCTAATGCATCATATCCTGAAGAGATTTGCCCATCAAACAAAATATAAACTAACTGCCTTTTCAGCAAATTCAGCAAATTCAGCAAACTTTGATCTTACAACACGTGTCTAAAGCGAATATCGTGGTGGCAGGTTGGAATATGACCATACTCAGCCTTACGAAAGCAGACGGTGGGGCTTACGCATGCTCGGTAAAGAACCTTCTTAGCCAAGATTCTGCTGTTGCATTAGTGACAGTGATTGACAGGCTCGAATTCGTTTTGGCTCCTCCTCCTACAGTTGTTGCAAATGAGAGCAGCGACATAGTATTAAACTGTGCAGCCCACGGTAAAAAAGATATTCTTTGGGAAAGACAAAGCCAAGCAATTCCTAAAAATCACGCCATTTTTTCAAATGGAACATTGATTCTGAGGATGATTTCTCTAAATGACGCAGGAACTTACAAATGCGTAGCGAAAAACTACCACCGTTCTATAGAAGCAACCTCTGTTGTTAAAGTGCTAAGCTTACACCCCAAAACCTGCAGCGAGATAAGATCTAAACACCCTGGAAGCTCTTCTGGTAATTACATTATTGACCCTGATGGCAATGGTGGCGTGACTTCATTTAGTGTGTATTGTGACATGAATGACAAGGGCAGAGTTGGTGTGACGGTCATTAGTCACGATAGTGAGAGTAGGACCCATGTTGGTAACATTCCTGAATGTAATGACCCCGGATGTTACCGTAAAGATGTTAGTTACACAGGAGTTACTACCGCCCAGCTGGCAGCGCTTACTCGAGTTTCACATAACTGCGAACAGTTCATCAAGTATGAGTGCAATCCTATGTCACCATTTATTGAGGATGGCTATGCCTGGTGGGTGTCACGTAATGGAACAAGAATGGACTACTGGGGTGGAGCTACTGGCTACAACAAAATGTGCGCATGCGGAGTAACAAACTCTTGTTCCAGTGGTAACAGATGCAACTGCCGAACCCGCAGTGGCTGGAGTGAGGACAGTGGTCTGCTCACAGACAAGGCCGCTCTTCCCGTGACACAAATCAGACTGGGAGACTTAAACGGTTCACACGAGGAAGGTTATCACACTTTAGGGAAACTCAAATGTTATGGACGTACTTAGCGAGTGGGTCCAGTGCGAAACAGTTTTCAACTAGTGGCGCTGTATGTTTAGTCCTATTTGCAATTTCTCTGCTGATTTAAACGTTCTTTCAGGCGCAGTGTTTTTGTATCCTATGAAAAAAAGGAACATATCTTTGAGTTGTAGCAGAGTGGAGTAGCGCACTTAGGTTTGATAAAAATACTTAGTGTGATAATATACTTTAACGTACGGAATTAAAAAGCCCATGAGCCAGTCCTCTTCTTCCGTGAGGAATGCAACAAATTTGTGGATTTTTTGTTTTAGAGACTATCTTTATGCCTTTCGAAAGACTCTTTGTCCTGTGAGACTGGCTCATTAGATCGTTAAGTTGTATTTCATTCAAATTTATATTTCTATACCCTTCATACAAACTTCGCCCCATATGCGCTTTTCACTCATTTTACTTTCCACCAAGTGATTTTTTCATATACTTAACTTGACACGGAATATTTTTCTTATTCCTGATAATGCCGTTGATCGATCGGCAAAAGCTCGGAAGACAATTGTCAATTTTATTTACAACAGTTAAAGGCCACATTCGAACAATATTTTACCTTCTAATGTTTATAGTTTTGATGCAATAGAATTTACCATTACTGACAGAAAGAGCCAACGTGTTGCTTAATTTACTAACACGACTTCAGGCCATGTTTTTGTTTAATAAAAGTGAAAACGTAGTGTGATGTGCTTATATAATGTTGTTTCAAACTTGGTGGAAAATTTGTTAGCCATCCTTGCCTATAGCGAAATCAAGTTTAAGTCACTCAGGGCCTGTTTATATGGAGGTGAGGGACTCCAGATAGGTGAGGTAACATGTGGCGGGTCACCCCACCTATCATGTAAACGTGATCAAATTGAAATGAGAGATTATATGGACAGGCGGGTTACCCCATCTAAGCGCATTACCTCACCTACCTGGAGTCCCCCACCTCCATGTAAACAGGCCCCTAATTTGTGTAACAAACTGCGAGATTCGCCTCGTTGGCCGGCACTTGCCAAAAGATTCCCCTAGTGTATTTACCTCGGTTTTCACGAACGTTCCAATGCCCGATTCAGTTGTTGATTCTCAAGCTCGGCACATAAAAGAAAAATTAGATTCAAAATTAATTTCAGAAAGAAATTAAACCATTGTACTTTGGTTGATGTGACTGATTAATATTACAATAGCGCACGATGATGTCATTTTACTACAATTTAATACTACGACCAGAATCCTTCCGGGTTTTGCCTTCTTGTGCAAATTAGGGCTTTTGTTTTTTAATCCTCACTGTGATTACCAAATTTAGATATGAAAGAAAAAGCAAAGGGATTCTGGTCATAGTAATAAAATGACGCCAGTGGGCAAATGGCCTTTTCTCGAGCAACCAGTGACATTATTACGTAGATTCTTAAGTCATGAAACCGAGGCACGAGGCTTCTCTACTCAATGTACGAAGAAAGGCTGAAAAAAACGTGGTTCTAGCTAATATTAATTATGCATTATTCATTTACGCTGCGTCCGATTCCGATCTTACACCTGTGCAATGTTTCTTGCGCCACTGTTTTAAAAGGAAATACACGTCAAAGCCTGTAAGTGTATATGATCTGTTAGAGAGGCAAGATCGCAACATTTTTAGAGAAGTAGCTCCAAACTCTATAGGACATCCACTCTTATCTTATGAAAAGAAACTTATTTTTAACCTAAGATTAATACTATGCGTCTTAAATACTCTTTCAGTCCTTTCATTAACCATTTAGTTTTTTAATACTGACGAATTTGCTTTGTAATATACTAGTTTTAATTCTTTCTTTTTACCTTTTCATACTTGTTGCCAGATGTAAAATTTCTTGATTAAATACACTTGTAACAAAAGATATGTATATTTAACTTTTGACGAATAAAGACTTTATATTATTATTATCAAATCCAAGCACTGATGGTTTAATATTTGTGTTTCATATTACGTTTGTAGTCAAATAAAAAACATTTCGCACCTTTGATGAAGGACATACTTCTCAACCAGGTTTAACTCAACGGCTTTAACATGATAGGACATTCGTGATACATATTCTCTGGGGGGACTTTGTGTCGTAAACCATTGTAGTCAAATGATCTTGAGCAAAATTAAACTTAATGATGAGTGCAAATCCCGGGGGGGGGGG